TTTTTTTTTTTTTTTTTTTTTTTTTTTTTTCCAAAAAATGATTCATCTTTTTTTTTGTGTGTGTTCGAAAGATATATAAAATTTGAAACAACCGAAAATTAAAATTTATTTTGTACTTGAATGTTTAATTAATTATTTGCTCTCAAAGAAAATAGTTTCGAGCTAAAAATATTTTTTAATCCTTTAATAAGAAGGAGATGTATAAAACATTTTCAACTGGCCGTCCTACATAGAATATGGCGAATGTTAAATATATTATTTGAAAGCTATCCTACGAATTGCCATAACTTATTGATGCGTGTAAATTATATACAAACGATTCAACTTATTAAAGTTAAAGCTCTAATGAAATGTAACACGCAATAATTTTTGTAGACCATATGTTAATAAAACTGATGTTAATAAATTCTTCCATAAATTTCTATTAATTCGAAAATAAAAAAGAATTGAAAGAGGAATAGTAAATTGAAATGGTAAATCTAATTAAAAGAGAAAAAAAAATGTACTGATGATTAATTTACAATATCTGCGTGTTAATTTATTCAAATGTAATAGAAATGTTGAAAACGAGCAATAGTAAATGGCACTTATTTAATGTCTCATACATCCTTCTTGTGTTTATATTTATTGTTCTAATTTTTGCCAAGTGTCCCTATGTAATGTATCATTTTAAATACAGCCAAGTATCTTATCATACGTGTAACATAGAATAAGGAGTATATCATGCCATAAAAGTGACGATGGTAAACGTTTCTAAACGAGAAATCATATAGTGATAATATTCATCACATCATATTCATTCACACAAAAATACTCTCATATAACTGTGTACATGACATTCATTTCTCTTATTCTAACTAGCATTTCAGGTTTTCTTCTGCTTTCTGATTTATAATGTTAATTTTAAACTAATCTATCATAGTTAATTCTATATAGAATAGATGTTATATTTTATCGCTAATTTTAGGTAACAATTACATGTAAATAGTGTGATGAACAATTAAATTGAATGACAATGGTCTTAGACTTTTTTCAACGGATTTCTTGAACAGATACATATAATTTTGTTATCTGTTATGCAGAGGAGAACAGCCAATTTCTTACAATAGGGCACAGCATAATATATTGCAGCGTGGTTGGATATTTCTATACAGTAAAGTAATTTCTACAATATAGATTTGGTATGTACTGTGAAGAACCGTCTTGTAATTGTTGATAATTTTTAATGAGAGTGGATGATAAAAGGTATATCCACATACTGTGCCGTCTTGTAATGAACTTGTCGATATACATATATTAAATTTTTGAAAACTTATTGTTAAGCTTGCGTTACACACCTCATTTGTAAATATTAGATCATATTTTTGTCTGTAGCATAATGAGGATTTTAACTGCAATTTATTTAGTTCATAATATAAGATAATAAAGCTGGAAAATATAATGAAACAAAAAGCCTTATTACTTCTTTTTAAATATGTCATAATAAATCATATTAAATGTAGTTTTAAATAACGTTTATTATACGTGTATTTAGATTTTGTTTATTATTATTTGAAGTCTTGTTACTTTTTTAATATTGAATCATAAAAAAAAATTAAAAAGACGAAAAATTATAGGTTATGTACAATAAAATACAATTATATGTAAAAATAATTGTGTTATGAATTATTTACATATATTAATTATATATATATATTTTTTTAGTAAATAATATTGAAAGTTATAATTTTTTGATTTAATATATAATTAACTAATAAAAATTTATTTTTTTTAATTCTATCAACAAATTTTTATTTTTATTTATTATATTTACATCATATTCGTAATTACATTCGTAAACATATTCTTTTATTCTTATCTATTATAAAAAGTTTCAACCAATCAAATCTTATTTGTACATATATTTTGGAAACTTGCTACATATATAGTACATCTTCTGTATATTGCAGTATTGTGTATCGAACCTTACGATTATACGTATTTAGTACGTAACTACTTCATATGCCTTGCACAATTTGTTGTGTTCTATAAAAAATTACGCTCATATCTTAAGAACGTAAATAATATAAAATATTTTGAATAATAAAAATATTTTTAAAAGTTAACTTCATATTCTCCATTTGAATTTACTCAAATTTTATATATTATTATCAGTAAGTATTCGAATTCTTAAATATTTTAGAATTATTCATTACCGGTATTTCAAACGTACGAAATAACGTAAAGAAATAAAAATTTATTGTAAAATAGATAATTTCTTACGCAATAGTTAATATAATTTGCATATATGATTAATTTATAATAATATCAAGAGTGTTAATATATAGAATTTTCTTTCGTAATTATATGGCATTAATAAGTATAAAACAATTGTCATCATTTTAGGTAGCAAAATGTCTCCTGCTTTAAAACCAGACGTTCAAAAAGAAATGGAATCGTTTTTTCATATCTGTATGGCAAATCCTTCAATATTAAATCAACCAGAATATTCTACAGTAAAAACATTTATTGAATTTTTTGGAGGACAAATACCAAAAGTAAATCAACAAGAAAATGATGAATCACCAAGTAAAAAATCAGAAGATGCAAATATATCTAAAGAACCAGAACCACAATCTGAACCAGAAAGTGAAGAAGAAAGTGATCTTGAACTTGATATGAGTGCAGTAATTGGTAATATTATTTATCTAAAATTTCATTTTTTTTATATATTTTTGGTTATATTTTTATAATATTTTTAATTAATAATGTACTTTTTAGAACCAGATACAGATGCTCCTCAAAAAATGGGAAATCTTACCTTACAACCAACAGAAGAAGAAATTGCAGAATCTCAATCTAAACGTTCTGAAGCTGTATCAGCATTTATAGAAAAAGATTATGAAAAAGCTATAGAACTTTATACTGAAGCTATTATATTAAATCCACAAGCAGCATTACTTTATGCCAAACGTGGACAAATTTTCTTATTATTGAATAAACCTAATGCTTGTATTCGCGATTGTGATCGTGCCTTGGAATTAAATCCGGATAGTGCAGCAGCACATAAATTTAGAGGAAGAGCTAATTATTTGCTTGGAAAATTTGAAGAAGCAGCTAATGATTTGAGACTTGCTTGTAAATTTGACTTTGATGAACAAGCTGATGAGTGGCTACGAGAAGTTACACCAAATGTAAGTATTTTTCTATTAAATTGTTACTTTCTTTCATAACATAACTTACTAAATTAATTAATTTGTATATGTTTTTTTACTTTTTATTATTCAAAGAATAATATTTTTATGTTTAATAGTAAACATGTAATATCTAATAATCAATTATATCATATGAGATTTTCTTATAATATTTTATATAATACCATATTATTAGATTTTATTTATTAAGTAAATAATTTTGCATTTAAAATCGAGAATGTCATATTTATGCAAATCGCAAATATATATATTCTTATTTATTTGAAAAATACATAAATTAAGATTATTTAACTTCAATATTTAATTTAAATAAAGTAGTAATAATTGCAATAATAACAATATCAACAATTTACTTACTTTCAAAAAATCATTCATACATGTAAACAATAATAACACAATGTAAAACAATAAATATTTTATATGAAGCATTTAATTTACACAAGGTACATTAAAAATCAAATTTTTTACTAAAACAAACAATCTCAAGACATTTTCATTTACATTGAAAATATATTTATATTTATTTATCAACATGGGAAGTTATTATTAAGTAACTAATAATTCTTTTAAATAAATATTTATAACTTTTAATAAGAACACAATTTGTTTATACAAGGTATTTCACAAAAGCTTCAAAAAGAGATCATTCTTATCTCTTTCTTAGTGGAAATATTTTTATGTATTTTATTTTACATACTTATAATATGTAACTGCTTTCATCATATGTTGTTCTGGCTGAAAGTGTCACAGTATTTTATTACAATTACACAACCATTACACTAAGTTTCAAAAAGTCTATTGTGCGAGTTCACTGTATTCTTCAATTTTTATATTCATGTATTAGATAATAGGACCCACCATTATTGTGATATGTTTTCCATAACTGTGTGATTCTAGGTGTACTTAAACACATTCAAGGGAAACTCACTATTCTTTTTTTAGATTGGAATGGTAACACTTGTCCTATTTTCCAAACACAAGTATATATCTTGAAATCTTTAATTCAATCCACTAATACACTTAAACATTTGTTAAGCGTACTATTAACCAAGCATTTGCCTCATAATGTCACCAATATCCATGTTGTTTACCTACAAAACCAATAGTATATCTTCATACCTCGAAACAATGTCTCTTCTTTAAATAAACTATTTAATATATTGCGCAAAGCGTGATTCCAGGAGAATTAGGTTTCTCTTCTCTTAATTTAATATCCACTTGGATTTTCATCTGAAGGCGATCCAAGATTATTTTTTATTATTTTAAGAAAGAAACTTCTCTGTACTGCTTCAAGTAATGAACTTACACTAATGTTCGCTTCTTTTCACTCATTCGCATTTTTGTTTTGTACAATTTGCTCTCACCTCATACCTCATACGGCATCAAGAGCTATTTCAGAATGTAGGATTACACTCAACTAGGAGGACTTGTTTCGTATTCGTGTATAATTTGCTCAACTGATTTCTTATATTTGCCTACGAGCTCTGGTAAATCATAAGCAATGGCAACGTCGAGTCTATTGATTGGACATCCACGGAAATACGTGCACGTAGAGCTTAACAGAGGGAAATCATAGAGAGGATTCAACCGGAAAAAATCTCGATAGACATCCGGATCGGGCAAGTCATATCGTGATATGTTTTTCAGTGTACTCAAACCCTCGTAGATATGATAATCTTGTGGATTCTCAATAATCTTGTCACTGATTTCCTTTTTGTTCCCAAAGAATGTCTTGTGATTGTAGTATGTGGTTAGATAGCAGTCTACCATTTTAGCATGATTGCGCACTCGTACCTACAAACATTAAGAAAATAATTTCGTTGAAGACAAGTTAACCAATAAAAGATGACGATTCGATTAAAAAATAACTTACAGCGAATCTCCGGGCGCTTGCTATCTTATGCTCGACTTGTTTATCAATGGCAGTACGCAAATCGCGTAAAAATGCACGTTCCTGAGCATACAATAACCTGGTAGGTGCACCAGCTTCATACGGGATTGACCACAATGATGTGGAATACATGATCGGTGGTTCAGCGCTAGACATTAGCGGAGATATATTCCAGATCAGAGCACCTTGCACTCTCATGAGTTCCTCCGGTTTTACTTGGTCAGCTTTGTTAAGAATGATGCGTGTCTGTTGCGGAAGTACGCATTACGCAGATGTTAACACATCTGAAATCTTAATGTCGAAGCTTACCTGATGCTCCCTTCCTTTCAATTGATCAAGAATCGCTTCTGTTTCTGGCCCAACATCCAACTTTGATGGATCGTATACTAAAAATATTATGTCTGCACGGTCAATGAACCATTGACACGCATCATTAAATGGGAATAAACGTTGGACTTGTTTACGAATTTCCAAGATTCCTGGTATCTCGACAATATTCACCTGGTAACGTAGAAATCATTTGTTAAGCAATATTAAATTTATTTTAAGAATAAATCAAATACTCACTTTTTCTAATAACTTATTATCGAGTCGTAAACCCTTCAGACGATCGAGCAATCCTTGGCCGAATTTTTGTAATCCGGAGAAAGTCCAGTCAGCGGCGAGCTGCGTGCCATCGAGGATCTCCTCTTCCTCTCCGTGCATTATAATATTGAAGTAGGCTGGAGATGGCTCGGCTCCTGTGTCATTTCCATTTGGCGTTTTGCATTTCTCCTCTAAGCACTCTCTCAAACCACCTAAACACTATCTGTAATTCATGCTTCTAGCATGCTTCTAAATCTACCGCTAAATCATTATTTACTATTCGAAGGCGTGATCACGGCCGACTTAGTTAAGCGTCAATGTGAAGTAAGTGAAGCTTCTTTTTGCACAACAAATTCTCACTACTTTCTTCGTTTCTTCGTTACTTACCTGTCCTTAACGATGTCTGCTTGTATTCGATATCGAGTAAATAATTTATAATTGAAGATTTTCCACCGCTCCACGGACCCATGAAAAGAACTAGTGGCTTGGAAAATATTTCTGGATCTA